AAACCCTCACTGTCAAGTTACACTCAATATTGTTCACTTTGTGTCTGAAGACCTAATTTTCCCACTTTGAAGTGATTGCTAAAATAGGCCTTATTTAATTTTCATGGACTATAGAAGTTGTTTTCCAGATCCCATTTTAGTTTTCAAAATACTGTGCTTGAAATAAATGCAAAGAAATGCCAAAGATATTTGTCATAGCTGGTCTCACTTACAAATTCCTGTTGCTCAGGACAGTGCTCTGAAGTATTTTACCTCATTCTGGTGCTAGAGAGGTGGACTGAGTGATCCAGCCCCAACTGCCTGCTTGAAAAATCCATTGCTGTTAAGCTAAAGAAAGTATGTGAAAGCTTAGAACTCTGTTATAGCTTGTAGGGATCCTTTACATAGGGAAACTAGATATGCATAAGAGAAACAAATCTAGTACTGGGGGTCAGTTGCACCCTTTTCAGTGCTTCTGGGTTTGTATTTTAAAGGCCAGACAAAATAAAAATGAATTTTACTTATGTACTTGAGCCTCTTGAAGAAAAACCCTACATTTGGAGTATTTTTAAACCATGGGCAAATGTCTCAGTCAGGATCAGAGTGAAATGGAATGAAATACTGTACTGATGTTCATGGTCTGCTCAGAAAACAGGAAATCAGTGATTTAAAGCTACTCTGGCTCTTGTTATTTGATACAGTGAGTGCAGACCAACTCCCTGATTCACTTCTCTTCTGGTTTCATGTCTGACCTTTTGTAGGAGATGCAACTCCTGCTCACTTTGGATGATCTCATCTACTCCCCAATCACAGTCTGTGTTCTGGTCAGATTCTAATTCCTACAAACATTCTGCTCTTGGAACAGAGGTTATGGTCAGTTAAGGTATTGTGCTGTGTGCTCTTCTGACACTTCTGGCACTGAGAACAGGAGAAGAAAAAAGGAATGGGCTTGAATGTGTACTTTGTCTGATAGGTTTATGGAAACTTCAGATACAATAATAGATACTAATTAGAGCCAATATCGATGGGCTGATTAAATCATCTGCAGAGTACTGGATAGATCAGCATGAAGTGGTGATTCTCAGTAGACTGAGTGATGCAGTGGTATTTCCTACTCGTGTGTGAGGACCAGCAGACCTGTCTGATAGCCAGACCCAGCTGAAAGGAAATCAGGTGATTCTTAGAGCTCTGAGTGAGCAAAGCCAAGATGTGCAGGGCTTCCCTTTTGAGGGAGAGCTGGGAGCAGCACAGATAACCTGCTTTGGCTGGGGAGTGGATCTTTATGTGATTCTGCAAATTTACAATGTGTTCTTGATTAGGATAATGTTTTCTGAAAGAGAAGAAGTCAGGATCCAAACTGTTCTTGAACTGGCATTTGAAACTGTGAAGACCATGAGCAAATGTATTAACAGGAACCTCATGCAACACTGTAAAATAAAATACTTCTGTGTCCATACTCCACTGCAATGCTTATCTTACACATAGGAATTGCAGCAGATTTTTTGTCATAGGAAGTGATGCTTTATGACTGTGTATTGTTTAATGTAGTTGAGCACTGAGGAATGTGGCAGAACACAGCTTATATTCTGATACAAGCCAGCTCTGTATGCAATGGTTGAGAACTGTAAATCCTAATGAAAAAAGGTTAATCATGTGAAGTGAATATTTCTGAAGTACTTGTTCATTCTCCTGATCACTGTTCATGGGCTGCATGTCAGATGTGCCCAATCACTTGAGTTAACTTAAGAGGAGAGAGGAGGCATAACACTGAAGCAAGTTCTGTGGATGCCTAATTAAAAGCTAATATGTGTTCTGAGTATATGCACAAAATTGTGTTTTCTAATCACACTTTTTATTCTTAAATGTTATCTAAATTCTGTTAAAGATATTTCAGATTAATATACCTAGACTGTTTCTGTAATGCTTTCATTCATCCATTTAGGTGGGTAATTTCTAAAAAATGGAATACTAATAATGAAGTCTTTGTGGCTTCATTTAAAAGAGAAAACTTGACAGATCTCTTGTGCATCTTCTGGTTCAAATTTTGTTTTGAAGAGGGCCAGTGCTGGAAGATTGCTTAGTTCTTGCCAATTTATTGACCCACCCATGGTTGTAGAAGAGGAAAGATTTACTGCCAGTATTATCACATAGGACGTCACAGAAGTCTTTCAAAATGGTTTGGCCTGGTACTTTTCATATGGCAGTTTCATTCTTGTAGTGCTTGTAATGTCTTTGAAACACTTATGGTTTAGAAAGCCTTTATGTGTCTTTTGTTTTATTTTTCTTGAAGTCCTTAAAGATTTCTTGTATCACCATTGTTGCAACTATAAGAATGATTGAAACTGGAGAAGGAAGGGTAGTGGATGAAAGAAGGAAAGGTTTGATTCGAGCCCTTCTACTTCCAGCCTTTAAAAATACCATCTTGGAAGTCAATAGAAAGCTGGAGGTAAATGCTAAATTGTTTCTCTCCAATTTATGTATAGGGTTAGTGTTGTTGAGGAGGATTAGCTAAGGGGGTAATGAATGTATATTTGAGTACAAAAAAGCTTGAAACTTAAACTACCAAGTATTTACAATGGCTTTTTAAGTCTGTTTTGACATTAGTTAATATCTTGACAAACTACTTTGGTTCAGGCGTTTTTAGTGAGGGTTTTTTCTCTTACATGAACATACCTCTTGATCTCCTTTCTCATAATATTTTGTGGATTCTTCAAGAATTCACAGGCATTGATGTGGCATTTGATTTGAAAAATGCTGTAATAATAATATTATAATCTGTAACAGGGTGTTTCTTTTGGTTTTGGTTAGCAGCCAGAGGCTCAGGGAACCCAAACAATATTCGTAGTGGTGAAGCTCATGGGTATTGTTATTTGTATAATTATGATTTCCAAAAGGGATACAAGATTTTTATTGTTGTTTTAAAACAGCTTTCTGTATATTGCCTGTGGCCATTTTTTGCTGACTTATTTGGAAACCTCTTTATATTTTAGTTACTGAAAGTTTTAATTCAGCTAATAGACTTTTCATCTGCTCTTCTGTTTTGATCTAAGTTTCTGCAATTTGTTCCCCTCTGAGTTAGGTGATGTTGGGAATAGGCATAGACAGATAAACTGGAGCCAAGTGAGATCCTCCATACAGGGCAGCAAGCTTTGTAGAAAAGGAGAACGTGAAAAACATAATTTTGTTTCTATTTATGCATTGCAGCTAAGATGCAAGAAAAAAGCTGATATTTTCAGTGTTAAGAATTACTGAGTAAAAAGTTTTGTGATTAAAATAATTAAGTTCCCTAGACTGTTCTTCATTGTCCAGCCTAATTGGTGTGCTTTGAAGCTGTGAGACATCTGAGGATGAAGCCCAACTCTGCTGAGTCCAGTCCTTTGGCTTGGAATTCTCTTCTTTGGTGCTTGCATATTTTGATTTTTTTTTTAATTTTATTTTCAGGAGTTAGAAGATAAATGAGTGGGCTGGGATTAGAAGATGGGCTATAAGGGACATGGTTGGGGATTTGGTTTGAGAATAGTTCCAGCTGAGTAAGCAAGTAAAGGCTTGAATGCTGAGAGTTGCACAGTAGCATTTGGCATGAACCTTTATGATGGCTGTAGAACTGATGATAAGTAAAGGGAGATGGAAGAAGAAATTATGCTGAGAGTTGAGATCAGTCCTAGCAATGTTGTTGTTCTGTGTACATTCACAGGATAATCTATTGCATATCAATAAAAGCATACTCTGGCATTGAGCATTCTCATGGAGAGTGCAGTTCTTGGATCTCAATGTTGAGGTTTCAGCCCTTCAAAAATGCTGTGTATAACTTTTCTGTACTAAGGACTCTTGTCCAAGTACATAATATTTATTTAGGAGATTTTTTTTTTAATTGCCAAAGATATAATTTCAGTTTTAAAAGCTGTCTAATGTAGGGACTTGAAGCAGAATGGTTACCTATCCAAGCATCCAGCAACAAATACAAATAGTACAAATTGTACAATTGCAACAGGTGGCACCATAAATGTATTACCAGAAAAAACTTTTGGTTACATGCAACTTGAGGAGATGGGGGTACTTAGTAAGGGTGATGGTTTGCTGAACTGAAAAACAAAAAAGCCAAAAATGTATCCTTGTTAAACTAAACTGGTTTAGTCTGAACAAGCTGAGCCAAGACTGATCTTTAAAAGCTTATTTCATTCTTCTTCTCTCCTTGAAATAAGTAATACAATAGCAAGCTCATTAAGGCCAAAATTTGGTAGCATCCAGGAAATTTTAGTGTAAGGTGTGATTGGTGTTTCACTTTTCCCTCAATATTCCTGAGATACAAGAGCCCCACATTTTAGTGACAGCAATGCTGGCTATGTGTTCATGAACATTCAAATCTTCCTAAGCAAGCTTTAAGAATTGTCTTTTATAGTATATATAGACTAGGAAGGGGTGGGCTATTGTATTGCTGATTATTTTGTAGTCATGGGTCATGAGAGTTCATTGTGCTTGGTGCTGTGCAAATACATTACAAGTTTTTGGTGTTTTTTTGCTCTGCACATTTTATAGTTTATTCAACCATGCCAAAGAAGTGTGTGAAAGGATTTTCATGGAAGGGGTGGGAAAGGAGGCACATAGGTGCATGAATGGGTATTGCAGTGTTACACTTTTGATGCTGCAGATGCTTGAGGGAGTATATTTAAACTATTCCATGGTGTGGGTATATCTGATTATTTGTAGATAGTATTGTGGGTACTGCAGCACAGATGATGTAAATATTAACATGATAATCTTCAGTCTCATGAATAGAATAAGAATAAGCTAGAGGGCTCAAATATGTGGGAATTTTAAGTGATGGAGTTCTCAGACTATTGGCTTTCTACTTTTTGAGTTGTGGACTCTTCTAGAAGGTCTTACAAGACAGGAGGGTGTCATGTGTGGCTGATACATCACAGTATAAGCAGATACCATGTGACATAAGCATATATGAGTGCCTATGATGTACTCATGTGCAATTAACTGCTTCATTGTTTTTGTTCCCCTTTCATCCATAGGTGACAAAGAAGGTCAAGTCCATGCAGATGTTCCATACTCCCGTGACTTATGCAATGCAGGGTGACAGAGTAGGTGTCTGTGTGACCCAGTTTGATCCCAAACTGCTGGAACGAGGCCTGATTTGCACCCCAGATTCACTTCACACCATCCACGCTGCCATAATTTCCTTGAAGAAAATTCAGTATTTTCGAGGAGCTCTTCAGACTAAGGCCAAGTTCCACATCACAGTTGGTCATGAAACAGTTATGGGAAGAGTGATGTTTTTCAGTCCAGCCCCTGCTAACTTCAATGAAGAAATTCAAGAAAATGTTTTTGATTTTGAAAAAGATTATCTTTATCAAGAGGAATATTTGTCCAAGGACTCAGTTTCTTCAGAGGAGAACAAAGAAAATGACCAGGCAGGAGAAGTCCAGCTCCCAAAACAACAGTGGGCTTTGCTGGAGTTTGAAAAACCAGTCACTTGTCCTAAACTGTGCCTTGTGATTGGCTCTAAGCTGGATACAGATATTCATGCCAATACCTGCAGGCTGGCATTCCATGGGGTACTGCTCCAAGGCATGGAAGACAAGAACTACACAGAGACTTTCCTTCCAAAGCTGAAAGTGTACAAACAGAAGCACAAAGAAGGACAAGTGGAAAGGGTAAGCTGTCTCTCTGTGCTATATATGGGAACTGGAGATATTTGTCTTGTACATATGTTGGTGGACTACAGAATTGTCACTGCTATGTTCCAGAGCCTTACACAGGTTTTTCTAATATTTGTGTTACCCAGTATAATACATCTGGTCTGCTTGCAAGCAGCAATCACTGTTTAAAGTGACTGGTTTATTCAGTGCAATCCAGTGTTGAGTAATTTGGTGCTGTCTTTTCACTGATCCTTTTGGAGTCTGATCAGTGTGTTCCTCCCAGAGACTGGCTTTGTGCACCTTCCTAAGTGACAAAACTTCCAGGTTTCCATCGATTTATTTTACACAGTCTGTAGTACATTGAAAATGTAAAGACAGTGGAAAACAAAGTTAGATTTGGTTAAATAACACAAAGAAAACAAGTAATTATTTTTTTGTATCTTTACATTTTAATAAATAAGAGCATTTATTTTAGTAGGCAAAAATAAATTTCCTGCAGGATGCCTTACAAGTGATATCATGTTGAAGTTGGAACTAGGTTCATGCCATGGAGAACTTAAGCTGTGCCTAATGCATGTTGTTTCTGTGTCACACAGGTAATAATCATCATCATCATCATCTGCTAAGGTACTTGTATTGACCTATCTTAGTGTAGCAGAAAACAGAGATGCTTTCCGGAGGAGTTAACAGCTACAGTGAAAATTAAAAGGGATTTGTTTGCACTCTGCCATCAGAATTGGAGAGATGCACTGTCTGTAGTGGTTGGTGTTCCATCTCTGGCCTAGGTTTGGCCTTGGTGATGGTTACCCTTCAGTCAACAGTGGAGAATCACTTGTTTATACATTGCATAGTTGAAATTTTCATGATGAATGGTTTATGTGGAGAAGTACAATGTATAAAAACTCAACTGTTTACCCCTTAATGAACAGAGTTGATGCAAACTTCAGCATTTGTTTACTTGATGAATTGGTATGATAGGTTATCTATTAAATATTCCGTAAAGTACTCATTTTAATACTGATTTTCCTAATTCAAAACTTCGTTGTTTGAACAAAATGTTTCGCCTTCTTCTTTTCAAAATTCTGTAAAGCTGAGTTGAGGATTGCATAATCTCTCCTTAATTTGCTATAGGAGACTAAACACTTGGCATATGATACCATGTTTGCTATGTATAATGCAGACTCCTTGAATATTGTTTGTTTGCTTTACTAATTTAATAGTAGGAAGATCCCTGCTAGGGCGTGATTAGTGAGGTTCTTCAAAATGCCTCACTAAATTAATTGATCAAATAGCTAATTCATATTGCTTCCTTTTTTTCCTGAGGTTTTTGTTGAATTTTTAGCTCTTTAAAAAAAAGAGTTTCTCCTTTGAATTTTCACTACTGACTTTGCAGGTCTTTTGTTTCAAAGGAATGACAGACCTAGGGCATTGTGTTGGTTTTTTGAATGCCAGTTTTGTCACTAGAAAAGGAGGTAGTTAGGAGTGGGATGTCTGTAGCTTTCTGAATTTTTATCTTTGTTTATATGAGTTATCTGAAACAGCCAAAATCTGCAGTCACTCTTGACAATTTTGGTAGCAGATGTATTGTCTCCTTTGTTAGATGTGTCCAGCTGCCTTTCTCTCTGCCTGATGGAGATACTGAATTAGAACCAGGAGTCCAAAGTGTTCTGGGCTCTGAGCTGCAGAGAAGCTCTAGACCAAATTTATGTCTGTTATTCTTCTGGCCCCCAGGAACTTTCTGAACTCATGAAACATTTGCCTTTATCTTGGCTAAAAATGGGCACACTTGTGCATGGCCCATGCTGCCAGGACCCAGTGAGACCTGGCTTACAGTAACAGTGGGAACAGAAGTTTGTGTGAGCCATGGAGACAGATGCTTTTCTGTAACTGAGGTGAACTGATCTCACATTCTTTATTTTTGTTCTCAAAACATGGCACTAATCTATGGCACTTAAAAACTTGCAGAGTACCAACTGTGTGACTTGTCTGATGGGGTTAACAGTTTGCTGTTAGCCCTGGTCATACAATTTTAATTGTTTTTATTTAGTGTTATTTTCAAGCTGTTTGCCAGTTTATATATTTTGCTCTTGATTTTGCTGCATAAATAATGGAATAGCATTAATTACACACACTTTATTTTCTGGCCCAAACAATAACCAATGAACATGCTTTATTTAATATTTGACCAATAGAGTAATTTATTAGGCTATGTCAGTGAACTGTTTTATCTTCCTGTGCCTTTTAAAAAGTAGATCAGGGAAGTTTATTATTTTATCCTGCCTTTGTACCATAGTGTGCCCTATATATGTGCCTTGATCACTGTGTATGGATACTGATTGGTCCTGTAAAGGGACAATTGCCATTGAATGCTTTCTGCAGCTTTGTTTGTACCCAGATTCTGCCTGCTGTGGTACTTGGAGCTGGCATTTCCCCTGATGCATGCTGAAGGGATGATGGAGCAAAACTGTAGGAAAGGCTCATGGTGTAAAGTCCCAGGAGCACTCAGGGACTTGGAAGAGTTGGTGGGAAGAGGCCTGTGCCAGGTATAAAGGGCTGCTGGGGAAGTATTTACAGCGAGGTAGCTGCTGGTTAAGTCTGTGCTTTGCAGAGCACAGCAGCAGGAACAATTGGGTGGTACAGAGACTTATTTTAGTACACAAAGTCACCAGCTAATAGAAAATTTGAATCAGCTGGTCCCACCCTGCTGCTGATGGATGGCTGGAGATTAGGATTGCTGAATTTAGGGTGTCTGTTCTTGGCACTGATACAGGAAAATTTCTTTCTCTGTTGAGCAAGGAAGCTCCCCCCTCCTCACCTTCCCTGGGGAGGCATAAAATAATAATAATAATTAAAAAATACATGTTACCTTCACAAGAAGTGAACTTTTCCTTCAGAGAATACTGCTGGGGAAAATTAGCTTCATAGCTTCCTGAAAGGCTGGGAGAGAGGGAGGCAGGGGTGTGTAATGCCTGCCTTTCCCATAGAAACATGCTGCCATAGCTGGGGTGCACTGCAATTCAATAGTGCCCGTTTGTAAAACACTGCTGCTAATCTGATGTGGGGTCTCCCAAGCCCCCCTGCTTGCAGCTGGAATTAAAATAAATTCCCTGCAGTTTAACCACCAGTTTACCCAGGAGAAATCAGGCATTTATGGTTTGGCTTTTTGTTCCTATTCTGATTACTTTGAGAGCGCTGATAGAATAGTAAGAACTGTAAATTCATTAAGTTTCAGCATCACAGTATTTTTCTTGTGTGCCCCTTGTGCATGGCACCCTTCTGGACTGTAAGGTTAATTTTTTTTAATAAAACAAGAACATTTCTTCTCCAACATTTTTTGTCTCTCTACGAGAAAGTTTGACATTTTTCCTGTTTCACATAGAAATCAAATCCATGGAAAAGATGGCATTTACTACACAATATTTAAAAAAAAAATCATACTTAAGCCAGCAAACAGTCTTCAAGTACTACATTTTACTGAAATTTCATGCCTAAGCTTCCGGGTTTTTCTCATCTGCTGAAGTGATGGAAAATGTTCTACAAAAAGTCAACTACCCTGTCATTGCATTTTTTACTGCTCACTTTTCCCTTTTGGTATCTTATTTCTGTAATGCCAAGATTGAGTGGAGAACTGGGAGACAGAGGATCAAACCTGACTGCTGTTGCTCATCAAAATCTTTGCATTTACCTATCTATGGTGCATCCTTGTTTATTCATCTGCTCATTTTTTAGGGGGAAGGAGAGTGAAGGGGAATATGTATTACTGTGTTCTATGACAAATCAGTGTATGAGAAGTTAGTGTTGTCTGAGGTGCAGCTTAGTCCATGAAATTGAAGTGCTGGGATTGCATCTTGGTTATGAAAAAGTTGCATGATTCTACTGCAGTAATGTTTTTTATCTGGTATTATACCATTTGATATTTTTGAGCTATGAAAATGTGTGAATGCTCTGTTTTGCTTTAGACCACGAGGGTTATTTTAGGTTTAAGTATGGTAAGTTTGAAGGGAAATTAAAATAGGTTATTTCATCAGAACTAAGAGGACAGTGGCAGAGGTTTTTATTTGCTTAACTTGGTTTCAAAAACAGTGTAAAATACTTGTAGAGAGGACTTGAGAGAGGGGAGAACTTCAGTGGAAGGAAGTTCCTGTCAAGAGCATCTTTCTGCTGAGGTTATGTGGAGGCAGAGACTGTTGCCCTCTGGACGTTTTATTTTTGCAAACCCTTGGCTGCCTGACAAATGTGCTTTCAATAGGGAAAAGCTAGACTGGCAACAAGTGGTTTATACTGATAAAAAGGTAAAAGAGAATGCTATTGTGAACACCAGTGCAGTTCTAAGGAGCATGATGTGGGAATCTTGGTGAAAAAAAGGCAAATGAGTGTGAAGGAGGTCTTGTCCCTCTGATTTGGCATTCGGTGCTGGCAGTGGGCGTGGGCTTGCTGAACTGCAGCAGGTCAGCAGCTCCTGGAGTTGGAGACAAATTGCAAAGATAAGCAGTAACTGTTGTCCTTGGGCTTGTGCATCTGGAGACAGGCTGCTTGGTGTTCAGCTCTTCACAGTTCTGGGCAAAGAAACTTGTATTAATCCTAGCATCATCTCTGAAATACCATCTTTGAATTTAACCTCTAAGCAGCCTTGCAGGTTAATTCCAGTCTGACTCATGAAGCAGTTACTCAGTTCCTGGAATAAATCCTTTATATTTGTCACATTATTTGCTCTTTGGCTTCTATGAACGTACAGGTTGAGTGCAGACAGTTTCAACTGAAAGGTGAACCATAGGAGTGCATCATGCTTTCCTGCATGACTCAGATATTCTGCCTGTTTTGAAAATGTTTGCATGAGCAGGATTTATCTTAGGATGGTTGCCACGGGGTCCTATTGTCACAGGCACTCGTAAATCCATAGCTCTGTGGCAGAAACAAAAGGAGAAGGAAAACTCTGCCTGCACCTTCTGCACTTTCAGACTTGTGTAGTGAAAAATATACATGTGTTGGCTGGAATGGTTTCCTATTTTAAGTGT